GTCTCATGTGGAAGAACACTAGTGGCTGGGGATATTGGGCAGACATCCAGCCCTCTCTTTACGGCCAGGCGGGCTTCCTCAGAGTCTGGCAGTCTCAGGGTAGTCAGGTTTTTCTGGCTTCTCCCTGGAAAAGTGTCCAAGAGGCCCAGGCAGAGGCTTTGAGGCTTCTGGTTATCTCTACTCAGATCCCAAAGCATGTCTCCCATCACATTTTCTTAGTCAAGCACATCACTAAGAGCAGCGCTGATTGAAGAGGAAGGCAATTAGATTCCATCTCTCAATAAGAGGAATAGTAAGACTTTGCAGCAGTCTTTAATAGACCACAGTTGGCTCTCTGGCCATAAATTTCTACCACATGCAAGATATACTTTCACCCTCTCAAGAGCCCTAGAAACCTTCTACTGTTATACAATTGGCTGAAAACCCAACTAAATCATGTCCAGTAGCCTGTTACCTTCATCTCCTCAACATGTGGCCAGTTCACAGTGAGGAGAATGGCATAAACATGTGGGCACTTCCCTTCAGACAGTAGGGTGGCAAGGAGTGGCACCCTGCAGGCACTGGTCTGAGCAGTTAGTTATGCCCATTGAGCACCTGGTTTAGTTCTTCAATTAGGGTGCCATGTTTGTCTCTGGAAACAATGCCTCCTGCTTCTGCACTGTGCTCTCTGGGCTCTCACTACTCTCTGTCAACATCCATTTGTCTTAAATGCCTGAGTTTGCAGTTGACCAATTTCTTTGCCTATTTTCAGGTTATAATAGTTGAAAATCCAATGACCCCTTTAAAAATTTTTTTCTAATTCTGCCCTTTTGATACTAGACATTACCCTGTTTTACATCTTTAAAAAGGATTGGCTTCCATTGTACTTTAATCCATTATATCAATGCTACCTTTGTTTTAGACCCTTTTTTCTCTGGCCTCCCCTTCTCTTGGAGGCAGCTATTCCTTAAGAAGTTTTATTGTTTATCAGGCACTGTCTGTGTATCACACCCTGTGGTACTTAGAATACTGGAAATATATATATATATATATATATTTTTTTTTTTTTTAAACAAAATACTGTGATTCTTGGCACAAAGGAGTTTGTGTCTTAGAAAAAAGTTGGATTGAAAAGTAGTTTTCTTTCAAACTCAGTAAGTTCTGGCTCCTTTACATTTTCTTTAAATTTTGTTTGAAAAGTGAACATCTTTCTTTGTTTCATTGTTACTTATTTATTTATTGATGCATGGCCTAAATATTTTAGTTTGTTGCAGGAATTAGTTTTTAAAATATTTATTTTAATTTTAGTTTTGGTAAAGGAAAATACACATAGCAAAAAATATAGCATTTGAACCAGTTTTTATCTTTAAGTAGTGTTATGTATGTTTGCATTGATGTGCAGGAGATCTCCAGAACTTTTTTATCTTGGAATATTGAAGCTCTATATCCATTAAATGACAACCCTCAATTTTTCCCTCCTTGTAGCTACTGACATCTGACATCATAGTTCGGTTTCTCAAAATTTGTCTCATATCAATGGGACCATACCATTCTTGTTATTTTGTGAGTGGCTCCTTTCACTTTGCATAATGTCCTCACCGTTCCTTTTTATAGCATATGTCAAGATTTCATTTCTTTTTATGGCTGAATAATATTCCTTTCTGTGTACACACCACAATTTATCCATTAATTCATGGACGGATGTTTGAGTTGCTTGTACCACTTCACTATGTGACTAATGCTGCTTTGAATTCCACTGGTATGGAAATATCTTTTGGAGATTCAGCTATTAATTATTTTGGATATATACACTGAACTTGAACTTCTGAATCACAAGGCAATACCATTTTAAACTTTTTTGAGAAAGCAGTGTATTTTTTTTTAAATGGTATAGGGGCTGTACCATTTTACTTCACCACCCACAGCATACTAAAGTTCCACTTTCACCAAAACATGTTATGCTGTATTGAGCATG